ACGTATAGGAGGCAACCGATTGATGTTTCTCTCTCACATCGATGTTTCTCTTTCTCTCTCCCTCTAAAATCAATAAAAACATATCCTCTGGTGAGGATTTAAAAAGAGCATGTTGCCCCAGCTGGTTTGGCTCAGTGGACAGAGTGTCGGCCTGAAGACTGAAGGGTCCCAGGTTCGATTCTGGTCAAGGGCACATGCCTGGGTTGCAGGTTCAATCCTCAGTGGGGGGCATGCAGGAGGTAGCCAATCATTGATTCTCTCTCATCACTGATGTTTTTTATCTCTCTCTTCCTCTCCCTTCCTCTCTGAAATCAATAAAAATATATATTTTTTTAAAAGAGCATGTTGACCTGACCTCTTTCTCAGGACCCACTGTTCACAATCACAGAGGCACTCTGTCACCATGCAACATCCTGCCCATTCTTGTTATTAACAGACCAGGACTAAGGGGTCATAACATTCACATTCTGATTCTAACACTGTGACTGCTGAATATGAGGCCAAAAGTTCACCTCTGACTCAGAATCTTGTGTGTATTAAAGACCAGTTCAAAGGGAAGAGAAGAAACGCACACACAAAACAGGTCAAGTGTCGTGGAATCTAATTACCCTGCTTATCTGGGTGTGTTTTAAGGCAAAGCCATAGGACACTTAATTATATTCCGTGTGCCACTTAATAACAGCCTGTGAGGCTAGGGGTTTTACAGTCTCCCCATGTTCAATTTCAGAAATTGGGGGCTGTCGCATTTTTGAGACCCCAGAATTATCAAAGAGTTAGCAGTGAGCCAAGAAAATCCTGTTGTTCACCCACTCACCTATCCACATCTGAGCGTGCTTAGTGCATTTGGAGCTGGAGCTCACCCTTTTGCACTTAAGTAGTCCACATGTGTGTCTGTTTGCTTTTTTCCTCAGAGGAAGAACTTGTAGGTTGTGACCAGGCTTGCCATTTGCCTCCTAAATGTGTGTCCCTGGCCTTTGGTTCAAGGACATAGGCCAGATAGCTCTGCCTTGGCCCCTATCTCAGCCCTTCTACTTTTCGGTGCTGCCAATATTTTGGAACTGATCCAGTCTGGAGAAACTTAGTTTTTAATTTAGGGTATGCAGCCAACTTCCTCTTTAGGATTTCAGAAGCAACTGCCTGTTTCAGCACTGTGGGGAGACTGGGTGAGCAGCCAGGAGGAAAGTCAAATTGTTTCTGTTTCAGAGTCCCAAGGTGGGGGTGAGGTTTCTAAGCTTTAGAGGGAGGATATATTTAATGCTGAAACTTTCAAGCTACAGGCCTCTTTGCCCCAGGGGTTAGGAGCCCATTGAGATGATTCTACACCCTGTGCTCAAGCCCTAATGGCCTTTTAATGTCCTTGGTGAAATGTTAGGGGTGGTTTTTTCCTGTTCTTTTTTAAAGCTGTCCCTGGAAAGCTGAATGGAAGAAAGTGTCAGAATGTGGCAGCAGCTGGCTTCTCTCTTCTCTCCTCCCCCTCCCCCCATTCTCTCTGTCCCCCTCCCTCGCCTTTCACAAGGCTGGATTTGGCAGTCACTTCCCAGAAGACAGCTTCCATCTTCCTTTTCTGCTAGCTCCTAGAAAAACCTGCTGATTGGGCTGAGAGTGGGGTCAAGCGGACACTCCAGCCCAGCAGGAAAATAGCTGTGTGATTTCCTCTGAATATCAGTGCAATTTCCTCTGGAGGACCTGACTCAGCATCTGTACTCTGCCTGCTTTGGAAAGGGCTGCTGCCTGGCTGCTGGGATTTCCACACCTGGGCATAAACGCCTCTGGTGGGCATCATGCCTGGTGTCTGAGACAGCCAGCCCTGCTCAGCGCTTGCTGTCACAGGAGATGCTGTCATAAGCCAAGGGTGTGAGATGCCCTGTCTGTTGGGCAGCTCTTCCTGTCCTTGGCCTGGTGAACATGAGTTCATCCTCAAAGTGTCCCTCCAGCTTTTTCATATGGTGTCTTTCTGAACCTCTGATCCCTCATATCTCCTATCTCCCAGTTTCATGGACTCTTGTGCAGCAACTTCTCAGTAGAGGACTGAAGTAGACTTGGGTGACTCTTCTGTTATCCTTGTCACTGGATTATAAGATAAGCTCTTTGTAGTCAGGGACCATGTTTTCTGCCCACTGCTGTGTGCCCAGTGTTAAGCCTGGCCCCCAACTGTCCCAGGAACTCAGTAAGTACTTACTAGAGGGATGTTTGCTCCGCACATGAATGAGCAGATGCTGCAGCATGGATGGGGAAAGTGCAAAAGTGGAAGCAGTCGTGTCAGTATGTCTGGAGAAAGCAAAGGGCTGGGACGAATGGTAAGAAGGATGTCCCTGGCTGACCTGGGTGCGATTTGAGCCCCAACCTGGCATTCAGGACCTTCTGGGACACCCCCCACCCCCGTCCCAGCTTTAATTCCCACCCATCCCCTTCCAGGGCCACACTCTAGTCCTACTGGTCTGCGTGGGCCCACCTAGTCGCCTGTACCTTCCCCCTCCTGTTGAGGCAGTGCTCCTCTCACCTTTCCCAGCCTACCTGGGGTCTCTGTCCACTTTCTGGTTGCCGTTAAAAGCCCAGTGTGTATCTTACTTTATCCTTGCCATCTCCCTAACCACCCACTTCTCCACCCTCTGAGCATCTGGTGTGTTGGTCTCCCCACACATCTGCCACATGCCAAGCACATCCTTGCACCAAATGTGCTTTTTCTTACCAGAGGCCAGTTCCTGAGTGAGTGGGGCTGCCTGAGGGAATGTGACAAACCCCAGTGCCTGGGTTATGGCTTGCTGACTATGTTGTCAGAAAAGATGGGCTCCTTTTTTTAAATCCTCACCCGAGGATATGCTTTTCATTGATTTGGGGGGGAGGGGGCAATTGATGTGAGAGAAAATATTCAATTGTTTACCTTTCGTATTCGCCACGACCAGGGATAGAACTTGCAACCTGGGTATGTGCCCCGAACAGGAATCAAACCCAAGACCCTTTGGTGCTTGGGACGTTGCTCCAACCAACTGAGCCACATAGGCCAGGATGGTGGGCTCCTTCTTAGAGTGGGAGTGGGGGTTCATCACCGGCCCCCACCTGGCTCCTGCTCAGGCCCTGGAAGAACCCCAGGGAAGTGGAGTGGCTAGTGAGGCCTTGGAGGGGGAGAAGGCTCTGTGGGGAAAAGTCCAACTAACTTAAAAATAAGAAATCAAAGCTCAAAGGTTTTCCCTTTGGCCTGCCTCCAGGGGCTGTGGCTGAGAGGGCCCTGTGCTTGGCTAGGCCAGAGGGGCCTGATCTGTGTCTCATGCAATCTCTATTACCCAGACCCCAGGGCCAGGCCCAGATTTACCTGGAAGTGCCCGGCCTGCTCAGAAATGGAGTTTCTCCATTTCTCCTCTCCCCACCCCCCCCTCCTCCTTCTCCTCCTTCTGTTAGACCGCTCTACCTTCTGTTAGACCACTCCCTGGCCTCCAGAAGCCTGCTCCCACTGCACTTCCCAGCTTTAGCCTTGGTCCTGCTTGACAGCCCTGCCTGCTGTTTCTGGCTTCCGTACCTGCCTGCTATTTCTCCTCGTTTCTCACTTTCTCAGTCAGCCCGCCAGCTCTTTTATTATCCTTTCCTCCCACCTTCCCCACTTATCCCAGTTGTCTTTTTCTGTGGCCTTTTCATTCTCTCTCCTGCTTCCCTTCTCACCTCCCTGACACCCACCACCCCTCATGCATCTGTCCTCCAGATCTACATCTCTAGTCATTCCCAACTACGCCCTAGATGGTGATCCCTACCATCCCAAGGGTACAGACATGCAGAATGCTCCTATGTCCAGTTGTACCTGAAGCCAGCCTTCTTACCTGCCTGCCCCCACCCTTCCCTGCTCTCATCCTCACTCCATGTGAGAACCCCAACTCACTGCCAATTTCTCCCATCTTTTTCTTTTTATATCGACTCACTTTTTAAATTTATCTTAAAAGGATGTTGACATTATTTCTTGCTATAACATTATATTAACTGAACCACCAAATACAACTAAAACAAAGCAGGGTAATCAATTTTCTTGGATACCTTACTTCTGTTTGTTTGTTGGTGGGGCTTTGTGGTGTGTGTGTGTGTGTGTGTGTGTGTGTGTATGTGTTAATCCTCACCCAAGGATATTTTTTCCATTGATTCTTAGAATGAAAGGGAGGGTGGGAGGCGGGTGGAGAGAGAAACATCAATGTGAGAGAGACACATGGATTGGTTTCCTCCTGCATGCACCCCGACTGGGGCTGGGGATCAAACCTTCAACACTTCAGTGTGAGGGCCGACACTTTAACCATATTGCCACACCAGCCATGGCAGGATACCTTAGTTCTGAGCCTGGGGGTTTGTTCCCTCTTGTTAAAGAGTTGTTGAAACCAGAACAGTGCCCGCCCACCTTGGTAGAATAAGGAGTTTTGAAGTAGCATGGCTGTGGAATAATTTTCTCACTTGTCCCTGTGTTACCTCCTACGCTGTGGGGAACGTAATTCCCTGTAAATTATGTTACCTTTCTTTTTCTCCTCCTCCTCTCCCCCCCTTCCTAAAAAATATTTTTATTGATTTCAGAGAAGAAGGGAGAAGATAGAGATAGGAACACACTGCACACTGGGGATCGAACCTGCAACCCGGGCATATGCCCGATTGGGAATTGAACCATGATCTCATGGTTCATAAGTCAATGCTTAACTACTGTGCCATGTGCTCCTCTTCTCCTTTTTTTTTTTTTTTTTAATTTTAAGAATACTGAAAATGCAATGCAGTCACATTGTTGCCATGCTGATAAAGTTAGAAGTTAAAGTTCTATTGCTGTAGATCTGTCTGCATACGGACTTAAATTCCAGAAGAGCCACCCTTTTCTGACACCTACATACCATTCATATACTCAATTTTTATTTTAACTTTTTTTAAAAAAATTTATTGGGGTGACATTATTTAATAAAATTATATAGGTTTAAGATGTACAATTCTATAATACCTCATCTGTATACTTTTCTTCTCTTGGCATCTGCCACCACTCCCCTCAGAGTCTTCATGGAGAATCAGGAAATCCTGCAGACTTGAATTAAGGCTCAGAAGATTAGGGTGGATTCCCAAGTGTCTGGAAAGAGGCATGACAGTAAGTGACATAGTTCAGTCGATATTCTTAGTCCCCAGACACCACCTTGGCTGATAATTCAAATATCTTTCTCCAGTACACTTCAGCCTATCCTATATAATAAAAGGGTGATATGCAAATCGACCAAACGGCAGAACGACCAGTCACTATGACACGCACTCAATGTAGGAGTTGCCCTCTGGTGGTCAGTGCGCACCGACAGGGGAAGTCCCGCTCAGCTACAAGCCGGACCGATGGCTGGCGAGTGCAGCGGCCTGCCTCCGCAGCAGTGCTAAGGATGTCCCCCTAGGGCTCCCGGTTTGTGAAAGGGCGCAGGCTGGGCTGAGGGATCCCCTCCCCCCAATGCACAAATGTCGTGCACCGGGCTTCTAGTATTCTATAAAGTGGAATGGTTAATCAGTGATTTTTCTGCTTCATTTTGGGTCTCAGTCCCAGGAGTGAGAGGAGACTTGTGTCCTTAGGAAGCCCCTCAGGAAGGGACTTGGGAGCTTCCTGCCCCTTTTCATCCTCTGCCATGCACCTCCTCAGGATGATGCCCCTTGGCTGCCTTGGACAGACAGGCAGGCATCTATCAACCCCACGGTCTCAGCTCATCAGAGCTGTGATTACCTAAAGGCAGACGGTTGGGCAGCCCTGGCCTTAGGCCAACATTTGTGCTTCAGAAGAGGCAACTGAGGGAATGGGGACAGGATTTCCTCTAACTTAATCCGGCTGGCCTAGCACTGTCTCTTATCTCCTCGGAGGTGGAGAATCCTTGCTGTGCGTTAGACTCTTGCTGCCTTTTGAGTCAGCATTTCACCCTCAAGGAGGGTGATATGCTGCTACAGCCCCTCATTGATTGCAGAGTGAGTGTCTGGGCAGGGCGACACCAAACATCAAAACAGACATTGTCTTTCTCTCCAAGCTCTGACTTGTTTACTTCACACTGGAAAAGTCTCATGCTTTTTCTCTGGGAGGCTCCTAATCGATTCCTTTCTTCCCAGGGGACTCAAGCAGCTGAATGTTCTCTCTGAGCCCCAGATCCCTCAGCAGGCTCTCCACTTTGTCCTAGAGTACCTGGTGCCCCTCAGCCTCAACACTGGTGGGCAGGAGGCACCAGTGAGCCCTTCTGTTTAATGGAGTCCCTCCACCAGTGAGCCCTTCTGTTTAATGGAGTCCCTCGGGACTGAGGTGTGGGAAGTGGGGGGATGGGGGAATATGTGGGCCCAGGAGCAAAGTATGCTAGTTTAGGAGAGTGGGGAAGAGAAAGACCTTTGCCCAATCTGAATCCATAAGTCCGCTCAGCCCACAGGAGAACCTGGGGGAGAGGCAGCATCCTTCCAAGAGGAGATTCCACTTAGCAGCTAAGTCTTAGCTAGTTCACCAGGTCCACCAGCCAGCCAGTCAGGACCAATAAGTTTTGACAGGACACATCCCTTTCTGGGCATCTTAAATTTGCATTGTGAAGTGTCTCAGACTGGAAAGAGATACAAAGAATGATCAGCCCAATAGCCAAGTGCCCACCAGAACTTAAATAAACAGCAATACAGTTGGAGTCCTTTATACCTTCACTGCATATGGAGTATCACTAAAAATGTGCAGTATTGCCCTAGCCGGTTTGGTCAGTTGGTTGCAGCGTTGGCCCTTGAACTGAAGGGTCCTGGTTTCAATTCTGGTCAAGGGCACATACCTTGGTTGCAGTCTCGATCTCTGGGCCCAGTCGGGGGACGTGCAGGAGGCAACCAATCTATGCCTCTCTTTCTGACACTGTTGTTTCTCTTTCTGTCTTTCCCCCTCACTTCCACTCTGTCTAAAAATTAATGGAAAAATATCTTTGGGTGAGGATTAATTAAAAAAAAATTATATGTGTATAAATATAAAATAAAAAGTGTGCAGTATTGTTTTGCAAGTTTACACCTCATGTAAATGATATCACATGGTGGTTTTTTGTGTGTAACTTGTCCAGCATTATTTGTGTTTCGTTCACACTGATAGATGCCTGTGACTGTAGTTTATTTCCACAGGTATATAGCTCCCTTGGTGTGGCTGTTTCACAGTGCTTTTATCCATCTTCCTGCTAGTGGGCATTTAGGATGTTTCCAATTTTTTGCTCTTTCAAACAGTGACAGAGCAGTCTTGTAGATGTCCCTTTGGGCTCATGTCCAAGAGTTTCTCTTGAGTCATACCTTGTTTAATGTGACCATATAGGTTTTCAGTGGTATCAGCCTGGAAAAAACCAACCTATTCAATTTGCATGGACTCAAAGCTGGGGGGGGGGGGGTCAGGTGTCTGAGCCTTCATAAAGGATGATATTTCAACTGGGCTGCACGTGCCCGGAGGCCTTTGGCCAGGAAGTGGCATGTGTGGGGTGGGGGCTCCATGTTTAGCTCAGTGTGGTCCAGAGGGAGCATGGACCGTGGATCAACCCAGCTGGAAAAGCTGGGAAGCACACAGCTGCTGCCAGCACCAGAACCTTGTTTCTGCCCCATGTCCCC